GTGGGGTTGGGGGTCTTGGGGAAGTTGGGGTTGGTCTTGGGGTCAATAAGTTTGAGGGTCTTGGGGTCAATGGGGTTGGGGGATTTAGGGTTGGGGGTCTTTGAGAGGTTGGGGTTGGTCTTGGGGTCAATGGAGTTGACCTTGGGGTCAATGGGGTTGAAGGTCTTGGGGGATTTGGGGTTGGGGGTCTTCGAGAGGTTGGGGTTGGTCTTGGAGTCAATGAGTTTGAGGGTCTTGGGGTCAATGGGGTTGGGGGATTTAAGGTTGGGGGTCTTCGAGAGGTTGGGGCTGGTCTTGGGGTCAATGGAGTTGACCTTGGGGTCAATGGGGTTGGCCATGGGGTCAATGGGGTTGAAGGTCTTGGGGTCAATGGGGTCAAGGGGGTTGGCCATGGGGTCAATGGAATTGAAGGTCTTGGGGTCAATGGGGTCAAGGGGGTTGGCCATGGGGTCAACGGGGTTGAAGGTCTTGGGGTCAATGGGGTCAATGGCGTTGGCCATGGGGTCAACGGGGTTGAAGGTCTTGAGTTCAATGGGGGCAACGGGGTTGGTCTTGGGCTCAACAGGATTGAAAGTCTCGGGGTCACCGGCGTCGGCCACGGTGTCACCGACACCAAGACCCCCAAATGTCCCGCTCCCGTTTGCCCCGCCCCCCTGCGGGTCCCTGGTGAACTCGGCCACGAAGACGACGGAGCAGTGGCCGCAGGCCAGCAGCCAGATGGCCGCGCTGAGCGCCAGGACGCGGCCGGGCCGGCGCCGGCCCTGCAGGCGCAGCGGGAAGGCCACGCCCAGGTAGCGCCGGACGCTGAGCGCCGCCAGGAAGAGGCTGCTCAGGTACATGCTGGAGTAGAAGCAGAAATTGGCCACCGGGCACAGCGCCGCCGGCAGAGGCCACGCCATGCCGGCCGCCGCCTCGGCCATCTTGAACGGGAGGAAGAGGAGGAGGAGGAGGTCGGCGGCCGTCAGGTTGAGCAGGAAGAGCTCGGCCGTGGTCAGCGCCGACGGGCGGCGCCGCGATTTGGCCGCCAGCACGGCCAAGGTGAAGATGTTGGCCGGGAAGCCGACGGTGAAGGTCAGGATGTAGACGGCCAGGACCAGCGCCGACGACATGGCCGACGCCTGGGCAGGGGAAAGGAGGGGACGGAGGGGTCACCGCTGGCCCAGAAGGTTCCAGAAGGTCCCCAGGTGGCCCAGAAGGGGTCACAGGTGGCCCAGAAGGTTCTAGAAGGTCCCCAGGTGGCCCAGGAGCTGCCCAGGTGGCCAAGGAGGCTCCCCAGGTGACCCAGAAGTTTCCAGAAGGTCCCCAGGTGGCCCAGAAGAAGCCCAGATGGTCCCAGGTGGCCCAAGAAATGCCCCAGGTGGCTCAGAAGGTTCCAGAAGGTCCGAGGTGACCCAGGAGGGGTCACCGGTGGCCCAGAAGGTTCCAGAAGGTGCCCAGGTGGCCCAGAAGAACCCCAGGTGAACCAGAAGGTTCCAGAAGGTCCCCAGGTGGCCCAAGAAATGCCCCAGGTGGCCCAGAAGCTTCCAGAAGGTGCCCAGGTGGCCCAGGAGGGGTCACTGGTGGCCAAGGAGGGGTCCCAGGTGGCCCAGAAGGTTCCAGAAGGTGCCCAGGTGGCCCAGAGGGGGTCACTGGTGGCCCAGAAGGTTCTAGTAGGTGCCCAGGTGGCCCAGGATGGGTCACAGGTGGCCCAGAAGGTTCCAGAAGGTCCCCAGGTGGCCCAAGAAATGCCCCAGGGGGCCCAGAAGGTTCCAGAAGGAGGGGTCACACATGGCCCAGAGGGGGTCACAAGTGGCCAAGGAGCTCCCCAGGTGACCCAGGAGCTACCCAGGTGGCCCAGGAGGGGTCACCACTGGCCCAGAAGGTTCCAGAAGGTGCCCGGGTGGCCCAGAGGGGGTCACTGGTGGCCCAGGAGGGGTCACCGGTGGCCAAGGAGCTCCCCAGGTGACCCAGAAGGTTCCAGAAGGTGCCCAGGTGACCCAGGAGGGGTCACAGGTGGCCCAGAAGGTTCCAGAAGGTCCCCAGGTGGCCCAGAGGGGGTCACTGGTGGCCAAGGAGCTCCCCAGGTGACCCAGAAGGTTCCAGAAGGTCCCCAGGTAGCCCAGAAGAACCCCAGGTGAACCAGAGGGGGCCACTGGTGGCCCAGAAGGTTCCAGAAGGTCCCCAGGTGGCCCAGAAGGTTCCAGAAAGTCCCCAGGTGGCCCAGAAGAAACCCAGAAGGTACTAGAAAGTCCCCAGGTAGCCCAGAAGGTTCTAGAAAGTGCCCAGGTGGCCCAGGAGGGGTCACAGGTAGCCCAGAAGAACCCCAGGTGAACCAGAAGGTTCCAGAAGGTGCCCGGGTGGCCCAGGAGGGGTCACAGGTGACCCAGAGAAACCCCATGTGGCCGAGGAGGTCCCCAGGTGACCCAGGAGGTCCCCAGAAGGTGCCCAGGTAGCCCACAGGGGGTCACTGGTGGCCAAGGAGGGGTCACAGGTGGCCCAGAAGGTTCCAGAAGGTTCCCAGGTGACCCAGGAGGGGTCACTGGTGGCCCAGAAGGTTCTAGAAGGTGCCCAGGTGACCCAGGAGCTGCCCAGGTGGCCAAGGAGGGTCACAGGTGGCCCAGAAGGTTCCACAGAAGGTGCCCGGGTAGAAGATGATCCCAAGTGGCCCAAGAATTGCCCCAGGTGGCACAGAAGGTTCTAGAAGGTGCCCAGGTGACCCAGGAGCTGCCCAGGTGGCCAAGGAGGGTCACAGGAGGCCCAGAAGGTTCCAGAAGGTGCCCGGGTAGCCCAGGAGGGGTCACAGGTGGCTCAGAAGGTTCTAGAAGGTCCCCGGGTGGCCCAGAAGGGGTCACTGGTGGCCCAGAAGGTTCCAGAAGGTGCCCGGGTAGCCCAGGAGGGGTCACAGGTGGCTCAGAAGGTTCTAGAAGGTCCCAGGTGCCCCAGAAGAAACCCCAGGATGTCCCCAGGTGGCCCAGGAGGTTCACAGGTGAACCAGAAGGTTCCAGAAGGTCCCCAGGTGGCCCAAGAAATGCCCAGGTGGCCCAGAAGGTTCCAGAAGGGGCCCACGCGACCCAGGAGGGGGCACCGGGGGCTCAGAAGGTTCTAGAAGGTCCCAGGTGCCCCAGAAGAAACCCCAGGATGTCCCCAGGTGGCCCAGGAGGGGTCACCGGGGGCTCAGAAGGTTCTAGAAGGTGCCCAGGTAGCCCAGAAGGTTCCAGAAGTTCCCCAGGTGGCCCAGGAGAAGCCCCAGAAGGTTCCAAGGAGGTCCCCAAATGTCCCCAGGTGGTCCCAGATGTCCCCAAATCACCCAGGAGCTGTCCCAAGGTGTCCCCAAATGTCCCCAAAGGTCTCAAAATGTCCCAAGGTGTCCCCAGAGTGCCCCAAAATGTCCTAAAATGTCCCCAAGAGGTCCCCCAAATGTCCCCAGGGTCTCCCAGATGGTCCTCAAGAAGTCCCAAAATGTCCCCAAAGTGTCCCCAGAAGGTCCCAAATGTCCCCAAGGTGACCCCAGAAGGTCCCAAATGTCCCCAGGTGTCCCCAAGGTGTCCCCAGGTGTCCCCAAGGGGTCCTCCGGGTGTCCCAAGGTGTCCCCAGATGTCCCCAAAATGTCCCAGAAGTTCCCCAGGTGTCCCCAGGTGGCCCCAGACGTCCCCAAATCACCCAGGACCTGTCCCGAGGTGTCCCCAAATGTCCCAGAAGGTCCCCAAATGTCCCAAAGATGTCCCCAAGGTGTCCCCAGATGTCCCCGAGATGTCCCAAGGTGTCCCCAGGATGTCCCCAAATGTCCCCAGAAGGTCCCAAAATGTCCTAAAGTGTCCCCAAGAGGTCCCCTGGGTGTCCCAAGGTGTCCTCAGAATGTCCCCAAAATGTCCCAGAAGGTCCCCAAGGTGTCCCCAAGTCACCCAGGACCTGTCCTGAGGTGTCCCCAAAAGGTCCTGAGGTGTCCCAAGGTGTCCCCAGGATGTCCCAAAATGTCCTAAAATGTCCCCAGGATGTCCCCAAATGTCCCAGAAAGTCCCAAAATGTCCTAAAGTGTCCCCAAGAGGTCCCCTGGGTGTCCCAAGGTGTCCTCAGAATGTCCCCAAAATGTCCCAGAAGGTCCCCAAGGTGTCCCCAAGTCACCCAGGACCTGTCCTGAGGTGTCCCCAAAAGGTCCTGAGGTGTCCCAAGGTGTCCCCAGGATGTCCCAAAATGTCCCAGAAAGTCCCAAAATGTCCTAAAATGTCCCCAAGAGGTCCCCAAGGTGTCCCAAGGTGTCCTCAGAATGTCCCCAAAATGTCCCCAAAATGTCCCAGAAGGTCCCCAAGGTGTCCCCAAGTCACCCAGGACCTGTCCTGAGGTGTCCCCAAAAGGTCCTGAGGTGTCCCAAGGTGTCCCCAGGATGTCCCAAAATGTCCTAAAATGTCCCCAGGATGTCCCCAAATGTCCCAGAAAGTCCCAAAATGTCCTAAAGTGTCCCCAAGAGGTCCCCTGGGTGTCCCAAGGTGTCCTCAGAATGTCCCCAAAATGTCCCAGAAGGTCCCCAAGGTGTCCCCAGATGTCCCCAAATGTCCCAGAAGGTCCCCAAGATGTCCCCAAGGTGTCCCCAGGATGTCCCAAATGTCCTAAAGTGTCCCCAAGAGGTCCCCTGGGTGTCCCAAGGTGTCCTCAAAATGTCCCCAAATGGTCCCAGAAGGTCCCCAAGGAGTCCCCAGATGTCCCCTAAGTGTCCCCAGAAGTTCCCCAGGTGGCCCCAGGTGGCCCCGGATGTTCCCCCAAATGTCCCGAACTGTCCCCAAATGTCCCCAGGATGTCCCCAGAAGGTCCCCAAATGTCCTAAAGTGTCCCCAAGAGGTCCCCTGGGTGTCCCAAGGTGTCCTCAGAATGTCCCCAAAATGTCCCCAAAGTGTCCCAGAAGTTCCCCAAGTGTCCCCAAGTCACCCAGGACCTGTCCCGAGGTGTCCCTAAATGTCCCCAAGTGTCCCCAGGATGTCCCCAGATGTCCCCAAATGTCCTAAAATGTCCCCAAGATGTCCCCAAATGTCCCCAGGATGTCCCAAATGTCCCCAAGATGTCCCAGGTGTCCCCAGGTGTCCCCAGAAGGTCCCTAAGATGTCCCAGGACGTGTCCCCGAGAGGTCCCCAGGTGTCCCAAAAGTCCCCAAATGTCCCCAAGGTGACTCCAAACCGTCCCCAGATGTCCCCAAGATGTCCCAGATGTCCCCAAAACGTCCCCAAAAGTCCTCAGGAGGTCCCCAGGTGTCCCCAAGAGGTC